TCATTGATATTCTTTCTGCATTTGGATTATATGCTTGAATAACTTTGGACCCTTTGTGGATTTCATGACAATAAGCGCTTAGACAATTTTTTTTTTTATTTCTCAGTTGTAAATTTGTGTGTTCTTATATAATTTGTTATTCAAAGAAATATCTGGACTTCTCTGTTCAAGTCTCCCCCTTTGACGGTAAGACGAATGTAAGTATGTTTGTTTCTTGAATTTCTGTTCAACTTCACGTTTTGAAATATGCATTGTTATTTGTTTCGTTTCTTTTATAAAAGAGTTACTTCTTTTTAATTGATCACACAGGTTCATTAATGTATGATTCATAGCCTTGAGATTTGTTATTGTAGAGAAATTGATTTGCAAGAAGAAATCCAATCCTAAAAGAGAGAGAGAGAGAGAGAGAGTTTATTTGGGCTTAGGAAAGATTACTTCATTTAGATTTATAGATCAATTGCTGTGCTGAATTATTTTTTTAAAAGTCATCTTGATTCTCACGTCCACCCATCCCACAACAACAACAATAAAAATCTTTCTAAACATAAATGAAATACAAATTATAAATTATTGATGTCAGTGAGTGTTACTTTCTGTAAGCTAAAATCATCAATTTTATTGGTTCCCGGTCACTTCATCCCCGGTCATATCATTCCCTGGTTACTTCATCCCCTGGTTATTTCATCATAAGTCAAAGCCTTAACAGCACAATTAAACAATGAAAAAAAAAGAAAAATATTTAATTGGGGATGAAATGACCGGGGGGATGAAGTGACCGGTCACCATTTTATTTTGTTAATGGACTAACACTTTCTACCTTGCATGAGTCAATTTTCCTTTTTGTATTACACAATTAAACGTACACAGAGGCACAATTTTGTTTTTTTATTATTTTTATTTAGTAGGTCGAACTGAAGAAATATGGCAGCTGCTGTATCTGGTCACATTGACAGGGGGAAGTTTCTAACTTATTTTCCATATCTAGAATTATTTATTGATTAACCCCTTCCATCCCGACCTAGCTTTCCCTGTCTCATCCGTTTTTGTATTGTAATATAGATAATATTTCGATTCAGTTCATTCCCTCCCCCTTTCCCAGGTCACCTCACACCCACACACAACCTATACACACAACTCACACACCCCACACACTTCCATACCTATGCTAAAATCTCAAGTACTGAAAGACAACCCGATATTTGCTCAGTGGAGACTACTCTAGATTTGAATTATCTAACTTTGTTTAGCCATAACATATGCGAACATTTAAATGTATACAAGTATATACGGGCTACATTAACATAACACACATATAGAGGCACACACGCACACCTGGTCGAACGCTCAAGGGAATAAAGGACTCGGAACATAATAGCTCAATATTTATGATATAACTCCCTCAATAACTCTTTCGTTTTATGATATATCTTATATATAAATTAACAATCTTTTGAAAAATGTTATGTAATGGGGCATAGTCTTACTAAGTGGCATTTTGGTTAGCTTGGAAAAATAGCTTTTAACACCATTTCTTGTCAATAAGTATGGCAATATAGATTCAGTGCAAACTCATAGTTTCTTGTTATGTCAGACACGGTGTTTGTCTAAATATTGACTTTGTGAGTTTTGCACTTTGTCTAAATACAGACTTTGTGAGATATGCACTTTGTCTAAATACAGACTTCGTGAGATTGACTCTCTGAGTTTGTGAACTGAAATCGAACCTTTGACCTCACTGAACAGATTTAATTTATATGTTTCATGTTTATTAAAATTTTGTATTTTAATTGTTAAACTGTAATAATTACTGATTGTATTCAAACGCTTTTGCTTAGATGCTTGGTAGATCTTTGTAATTGCTGAATTAAGTCGCTTAGACATTGCCAAGCTCTTGTGGGACAAGTTAAAAAAATTGTTTAAAGTCTGAATGACAACATCTTATTTTGGCTTGCCTTTAATTCTTATTTTGGCTTGCCTTTACCAGTTACGTTTTTTTTTTTTTTGATCTTTGGCCTTAATTTGAAAAACAAAAATTTCATGTGATCCTACACCAGCCTTTTTATTTTTTTTTATCTTATTTGTGGCCTTAAATTTTTTTAAGGATCTTTGGGTTCGACACAACGTCGCCTCGGCTTTTAACAAGGTGATAAGAAAACTGTCGGCCTGTAATTAAAAAAAATATATTTTAATAGAACTATTTTTTCTTTTGACCTATTTTTGTTCTCGCGGATTTGCATGGCGAGGTAGTGCGTGATGAATTATGCAAAGAGTGTTGTTTTATATATGGTCGTCCTTCTTATCAAGCGCGTGACAAAAACCATTCAGTCATCTACGATCCAAAGTGACTGATCGATAACAATCATACATTGATCACTGCATCGTAAAACAACGAAGCCATTGTCAATAGCTTATTTATTCCACCTAGGACCCAACCACAACGCCACGTGGAGGTCAATGACTCTACATGCTGAACTATGGACCGAAGAGCGTACTTACGGGCCTTCATTCCAGGGCCATTTGCCAACACCTGGTGAGTCCATTTGCCATCACGTGGTCAGTCCAATCGCCATCATGTGGTCAGTCCAATGGTCATCATGTCCGATTGCCCTTATCTTCAGAAATGGTCAGTGTTTCCACCTTACCAATTCCAACTTGTTAACAGCTTGTTTATACTGTTTTTATAATAATATTACCTTTCCAGCCAGCATCATAGACGCCCCATGTTATCATAATATACCATCAGCTAACCATCATAATACTATCGGCGATCACTACTTTTGTCTTTATGCAAAAAAGCAGCACATCTATATTTATATACATTGTAACTTTTGAAGCTTTTTTTTTTTGTGCCGGACTTACTGTTTAGTCAAATAGGCCTTCACCAGGTAATTGTTATGGACATTTACAAATGACTTTTGCTGTCTATTGCTGCTGCGTTAGTGTACGTTGGAAATTAATTTAAAAACAATGTAAAAAAAAATATATGATGGCAATTAGTTTTGAATCATTGAAATTTTTTGCCATAATTTTTATCTACATATTTTTGTGAAGGTCTACAAGACATTGAGTAAACCCGGCTGTGTATTTTTTTACAATGTGATGTGCCGCGTGGCAGTGCCTGCCCATCGTGACGTCATGAGCCAGTTTCAAAATCATGGAATTTTTATTCTACAGCATGAGGTGATCTATACTATTTCATTACATTTTTTTTTTAGATTGAAATGGTAAAAATTACACTTTTAATAGTTGTAACTATGACAGATGATGAAAATATTTACATAAATGTAAAATTATCTGAAAGTAGGGTATACTTAAATACACGAAGCTTTGTATAATTTGCGCTTTATTTTCAGATTATTATCATTTTAATTGTTATTGCTGCTTAAATCACGCTAAATACAAAAACATAGAAATACTTCTTTACAACCAAGATTATTTAGAGAGAGAGACTATTACAAGTACATCCTCTGTGGAATAAAAATTCTGGGTTTTTAATTTAACCCTAGTCTCACTTGTCTTTCTTGAATGTCACCGGACTTGGGATATCGGGAAATCCCTTAAACTAATTATAGTATTACTTGACGTCATACATTGTATCAACTGGCAGCTTTCATTCATATTTTTTTTGTTGGTTTGCAAAGACATAGCCACTAATTTTTTTAAATTTACATATCATTATTTGATTACTTTTTCGTGTTTTTTTAAATTGTTTATTAAAATTGTATATTATACCTTGTAAATAAGTTTTATGTGGGTTTTTTTTTGTATGTCTTATTTTTATTTATTTTGTAACAGGATTGGAACTCATGCTCTTTAAACATTGGCCTCATTGTGTGGTCATTATTTGGTCGCCTCTTAAAGGCTATGGTTTATTGCACGGGATCCGTTTTTTTAAAAATAGACTTTGTCTTCGGGCCGATATTTTAGCCATTTTCTTGGATTTTTTTTTAATTCTCAGCATTTACCTGGCCAAATCACGTGATGTCGACGTGAACCTGCCAGGAAAGTTAGTAACTTAAGGAGAGTTTAAAATTCTAATTAAATAGAACAGGAACAATTATAATGTAAAAGATTAGAAGATAATATAGTGATAGAGTTTAGAGTATAGTAATAATATTAAAATGAACTCTTTCTGTAATTCTAAATATTAAGATTTGGAATAAAACAATTATAAACAAAGGTTTTGCCATTTCTATAGTTTTCTCTTTACATGTGTACATACTATATATTATGGTAATTGATATCAAATAAGAGACATTAACATTTTCTTGATGTATTTTATCTGGTCAATGACATAAAGTTCAATCACAAAAAATATTTCTCGCTTGGCAAAAACTATGATCGTAAATAAAAAAAAATACTCTCCGAACATCAGTGGACCTTTAAGCGCAAATCTTTAGCAAAATGGTAAGAACAATGGTATGCTATAGTTATTTTTGTATATCCAAACCACCTTATCTGTAACCTAGCAACAACTTTTTAAAAAAAATAAATCTTTTATGTCTCTACACACGCCATGGACACGTGACTATAATTTCCAGCCAAAATTAAAGTTTGACTGAAACTGTACAGAATGAGTAGCCATTTTATTTTTATGAATGCTTTTTTTTAAAATGTTAGTTTTATGTTTATTTGTTGCTTAGTAAGCAGTTTTTGTGTTTGTTTTTGGTCTGTTCCTTTTGATGGAACTCCATTGACTCGAAGAATGTTTTGTGATTCAACTTTTACCTTCATTTAATTATTTCATTTTGGATGCCATCTTGTTTTACTTTGGAGAGTCTCTTGTATATAATGAACATTCATGAACACGTTTACTGGACGTAGTGACATTAATTGGATGAAGTGACATTTATTGGGCGTAGTGACATTTACTGGATGAAGTGACATTTACTGGACAAAGTGACATTTACTGGATGAAGTGACATTTATTAGATGTAGTGACATTTATTAGATGTAGTGACATTTACTGGACGTAGTGACATTTATCGGATGAAGTGACATTTATTGGATGATGTGACATTTACGGGACGTAGTGACATTTATCGGATGGAGTGACATTTATTGGATGATGTGACATTTACGGGACGTAGTGACATTTACTGGATGTAGTGACATTTACGGGAAGTAGTGACATTTATCGGATGAAGTGACATTTATTGGATGATGTGACATTTACGGGACGTAGTGACATTTACTGGATGTAGTGACATTTACGGGAAGTAGTGACATTTACTTGACGTAGGGACAATTACTGGACGCGGTGACATTGACTAAGCGTAGTGACTATTACTTAACGGAATGACATTTACTGAACATAACCTAACTACGGACATAAAACACACACACGCACAGATAGACATAAACACTTGCGCACTTTCATTGAACATTCACCACTGTGTTCCAAAACCTAAATAACTTTTCATTTCAGACATTATCATATGTTACTTTAATATGTTTTACTTACATGTGATTATAATATTATTTTTTTTTTACATTCGTTATTTTGCCTTCAAACAAATGTTATTGGAAGTATTCCTTTTTTTTCCTTAAATTTTTCAATCAATGAATTGTTTCACTGACAGTGGCTATAACACTTTGACTATGAAATGTATAGCTACATGTTTGTAGCGTTGAGACCATTGTATGTGTTCTTAAACAGCCATGTCCATGGAGTTACCTGCTCCCTCCTAAACCTGCTCAGCAGACGTCACACGTTATGCTCATATCAGAACATTAGTTCGTTGCAAAAATGATTTTTTTCTAAATATAGAATTTCAGTTTGAAATTCACGAAGAGAAGACAATTCTGAAAGACGTGAAATAAACATTTTAAAAAGAACAAACTCAGTTTATGTTTTATTTCTTTTGTTATTATTTTTTTTTTACTAACTTTGTTTCGTTTTTGAATGTATGTGTGTTTACGGACCACAGACCTATAAATATAATATCTAGACTGGACATGGAGATCTTTTAACACAAATGTGATCACCTTCGAATAAACTGAAACAACGCGTTGTTTTGTAAAGTACTTATAGGAAGCAAAATTTTACATACAGCCCTAACACTCGTAACATATTGTTACAACTCTCCTACTATCCAGGCTCTCCTCACACTGCACCACACACAGACACAACGAACTTAAAGAACCTCACAACTCAGGGCTCCAAAGTAACAGTAACAGTTTTATTTCAAATACCTCGCAATAACATTAACACTGTCTTTACAAAAACCTAGTCTCTGCTCCGCACTGGCTTCACACACCGTGCTGGTTCTCGCCTGGTACTGATCACATAGCGAGGTAACGTGAAGTGTAGCGATTCTGACACACTCGCTCTTATATAGTGTCTCTACTGGCCTCGAACCTTTTTGACCACTCCAGTTGATCACTTTCGCCGTGACTTGCGTGCGTAATATTTACGACACTGGTCCTTGCCGAACTGGCGTATACTGTCACTGGTCACGGTTGACCGCTCGTCATGCGCTGGACTGTGGCGATTTCGGTAGGCTAAAAACACACAGCGCTATCGCCATATGTGTCACCACCAGGTTTACAACAATATAATTTAATTTTTAGATCTAGATCTAGTAACTGAACATAAAAAATAAGAGCATTCTTTTCTCATAATTAGTATTTTACAATTTTTAGATACATAATCTTGAAAGATCTAGGTTATCTATCTATGTAAATGTACATAAGATGATTAAAATCAACAGACTTAAATTATTTCCATCTAGGATTTTCAAATCATGATCTCAATGGAAACCAACAGGAAATGGATTTATTTCATAGATTTGCGTAAATATAAAGTTTTGTGATTAATAGCAATAGCCAATTCTATTTAAAATCCGCAAAAAGGTATTGTATTATTTCTAAACTTTGATAAATGAAGATCATTACTTTTCTAAGACAGAAGAGATCGATTTTCCTAGATTCGGGGCGACTTCCCTTACAAGTGAAGAAAGAGTTACGTGTATGACAATCTAAATATATAGGTCTGTGATCTGAACATTATCAGATATGAATTTATTTCCGTGTTCCAGTCTTGGTATAATATATAGAGAGACGAACGAATCCTTTGTTTTTTGTTTTTTTTATTAAAAATCTTAACACGTTAGAATTTAATAAAAATTCCAGAACAATGTGGCTTCAATAAAAAGGCCAGCCCAATGAGGCTTTAATAAAAAAAAGTCCAGAACAAAGAGGCTTCAATAAAAAAAAGCCAGATCAATGAGGCTTCAATTTAAAAAAGCCAGATCAATGAGGCTTCAATAAAAAGGCTATATCAATGAAGCTTCCATGAAAGGCTAGGACAGTCAGCATTCAAATGTTAAAACTATCCTACAATCAACAGTACAATGAGGCTTTCGTAAATAATGCAAAGGCATTGAGGCTTTAATGCATAGGTCAGTACAATGACATATTAAACAATCACTGCGAGGCTTCAATGTATAGGTCAGTACAGCGAGGCTTCAATACCATGGTAAGTAATTAAGACTTCCTTATCTTTTTTCCTGACATTGATGTACCTGTGGTAATAACTCGTATGCGCATTCCTACTACGAGCTGTTCCTTTGTCAAACCTTTGTCAAACATTTGTCAAACTAATTTGAACCCACTTCACACACAACCCAAACTCAAAGAGAACCAATTATAACCCATCGAGTAAATGTATTAGTTTCTCTTTTCATATTTATTTTAAATTTTTTCACGTTTTTGAGAGATGCAACGCAGTCATTGTGTAATATAGCAAAGGGCCTTTGTGGTTTGTGTGTGTGTGTGTGCTGTGGGGGTGTGTGTGTGGCGTGGATCGTGAACTGCTGCACTAGAACACAGATGTCTAGGATAAATTGGGGGGGGGGGGGGGGGAGTTTAATGCGTTCGGATTTTGTAGTATTTAAAATAAAAACATTGTCGATGACATCAAAGGATGTTTAGAGGTTTGAAAACATCAAATGCCTCTACCCCCCCCCCCCCCCTTGTCTTCTTTTTTGTCCTTTTACAGAAATCAAGTTGTTTTTTTTTTTTTTGCTTCAAGCATTGTCTGCTATTTGACCTTTTTTTCCATGGAGTTGGCACATCTTGTTCCTAGGTCCCACTCTTGAAGGCGCACCTCCTCCCGGCTTCTTTGCTGCCATCGCCTCTAGTTCACCTTCTGGAGCCTATCCCCTACAAGTCGAGCTATTTCAAACACTGTAGACAGAGCCGGCCCTAACGATTGCGGGCCCTATGCGAAACGGATTGCGCGGGGCCCAGTCTGGGGAGGGATATGGATAATAGGCTTTACAGAAAATTAAGATTTTGTACTAGAAAATAATTTTGTCTTTACATTTTGTTCATTCTTTACTAAGTACAAAATCACGATCTAATTTACTCTATGGCCTTTACGTGAATGCGAAGTCAAAAATATGTGAAAATATTATCAGAATTCAGTTTTCCACCTAGATCACACTCAATAGCACGCATTGCCAAGTTGTTCAATCTATCTTCGTGAATTGTTGACCTCAAGTAATTCTTGATTAGTTTGAGGCGCGAGAAGCTTCTTTCACCAGGTGTCACAGTTACGGGTATTGTTAATAGTATTCTGAGTGCAACATAGTAGTTTGGGAAAGCTCTCTATCTTTCATTAGTGGACAGATAAGCTAAAATTTCTACCTGCGTTTTGGCGGTATTTGGTAGCATATGTCTTAAAGGTGACAATTGTGTCTATTTTTGAGGATATTTTTATGAGTTTTCAGTAGATTTTAATAATTTTAGGAAATTTCTAGGAGCTCCTGGGAAATCATGAAACCGTGGAAAACCTGTTATAAGTTATAATTTTTAAATTTAATAATGTGCACATAGAATTAGCGCCGGGGCCTATGAAAATACGGGGCCCAATGCGGCCGCATAGGTTGCAGTGTCTTAAGGCTTGCCATGACTGTAAACAGGTTAGCACAAAAAGGCACTGTTTCAAACATGGAATGGGTTGCCTGAGCCAGTCAGGAAAACCAATGACTTGGCAGAATTTAAGTCATTGGTTAACATGCATGACTAGATGTATGACTAAATGCACGACTAGATGCATAACTAGATGTATGACTAAATGCATGACGCGTAGGACGTAATCATCTTCTTTTTTTGAAGTATCGTTTGTAGTATATAAGATAAGATAAGAATTGAACCCTTTCTGTTTTCTTTGCAATGTTTTGACCTAATTATTCAAGAAGCATCAAGAGGTCTCTGTGTTTTGTTGAGCCTTTTGTCCCTTTTACTTGCTCTTGAACTTGTTTTATTTCTATTATTGTTCCAGAATCACTGGATAGAGAGAACTAACATGTACCGTTATGCTTGCCAGAATAATTAAATTAGGTAATAAAAGAAACTTGTTAATTCCCATATGTGCTCGTTAGTTCATTAATTATTCATGAATAGACAAAGGTCAGATATTTAGTCGACATGTAGTCCTCGTTGTGTTACATGTCTAGAGATCTGACCAGGTTTCTGTGATTTCTAGGTGTGAAAAAAAAAACAAATACTAACTGGCGATAGTTTGTTCTATGGCTTCCTAGAGAAGAATGTATCACTGAGTCGTCGTGGGCAGAAAGTAATAAATATTGATACGACTCTCTATCTGGCTCTCTGCAAGCACTTAACACTACGACATAAATAAGTCAAGAACAACAAAGGCTCCAAATTAGTGTGATACTTTCTTTTTAGTGTTTTAAATAGCGCGTCTTCATTATTGCTCTTATATAGCGATTCTTTTATGCTAATAGCATGCCCAGAGCGCAATAATCTAATCTACATCAAAACAAGAACAGAGCGGTACAAAGACTCGTTCGTACATTACTCGATCTGACTATATCAACGCCACTCGTTGATCAGGAAACATGAAAAGGACCAAGATGCCTGTGAGTAGCCGCTGAATGAACTCTACATGTTGTGTCTGTTCTATTTATGTTGTGTTTCTGTTGTATTGTCTTTATATGAGAAAAGAGTCCTTGTAATCACGACACATTTCCATATGGATCAATAAAGCAGTCTAAGTCTTAGTTTTTTGTGGATCAGTGAGGGCAGGTGTATCTGGGAAAAGATGTCCGAACTGCATGTAGCCGCTCAGCAAACACAACTCTGATTGAGAGAGATTCGAACTCCAGCTCCTTGATAAGTAGCCCTTCCAGCCATGCACCCCACTTGAATGAAGGTAATAAATTAACAGCCAATACTGTACAATGGCAACACGAACCGTTTAACTGGACAATCGCTTATCTGATTATAGCCTTGCCTGACCTCGAACTGGACTATACAGTACTGGCACCGTTCATTTCACTCGAGACGATTCAATATCTTATATTTTACGTTCACGGAAACAAGGCATAGAGATTTAGTTTGACACTCTATATTTAGACTTTGTAAAACGATGTACTGATTTTGCCGATACTGCCCTGGGATACGTAGACTCGTGTTTGGGAACCGCTAAACTATGTCACAAGATTGAAGGACTGTTAAGCCACCCAGCCAGATACTATGTTTGTTTTCTGGTCCGCTCTGGCAACAGGCTCACGTTTCATCCGGTTCCGCGCTCACCTGCGACCTTATTGGAAGGTCAACGTGACATATCTCCTGGTGTTTAAATAGACCGATCTGGATGAGTATCAACACGTCATATAGTTCCCTCCCCCCCCCCCCCTTCTCACTGGTAGAAACTTTGTTTCACGTTTGGGAAGAGGTAATTAGAAGACAGTCTTTACTCAGCTTTAACAGGGTCAAAACAATCATTTAAAGAGAATAGAAAAAAAAAAGCAGTAAGTCCAGGGCTGTGCCTCGGTTTAGTAGCCAAAGACCAGCGAGACTTCTTGTTATG